TCCCATTTCCATAAACCCTAGCTTCAAAACTCAGATTCTTTAAATCCAAGGAAAACTACACCGATTAAATATTTAAACTAAACCCAAAGCAATCAATTAAACTCAAAACAATCGGTCAAAAACCTCAATTCCATCACAACCTAGAAAATCCTAGGGTTTCACCACAAATCCTCAGAAATTCAAGAAAGAAAGTAGATTAGAGGTTAAAATCACTTACTTGAGGAAGATCCTTAGACATGCCCCCTCCAAGCCAAAAATACCGAAACCCAGCAGAGCCTCTCTCTCTACCTCAGATTTTTTCTAATTTTCGCACAGTTGAACCCTCCCGCGACTATATAGATTCGGACCCCTTCGCCGCGACGAACTAATCCCGAGAGGGATTACTCGCCTGAAAACCCGACTTCGCCACGGCAAACTCCAACCTTTGTCATGGCGAAAGCTTCCGAGAGGAAACTCTCGCTCGCCCAAAAAAATCTTTGCTGCGGCATGCCTCACCTACGCCGCGACGAAACCTTCTCGAAAGGTACTCTCCCCCGGAATCCCGATTCGCCACGGCAAATTACCCTGAGAGGGATCGTTCACCTATTCCTCCAACAAGCCTAAATTCCAAAAAAACACCAAGATCAACATTTTAAATCACTAATCTATCCTTAAAATCAACAAAAAGAGGTTATTAAAACCAATAAAAACTCAGGATGTTACAATAAAAAAAAGTCACCATGAAAGACAGTAGAAGTTTCAATGTCGCCATAAAGCTGTTTGGTGGCGACCTTATTGTCGTCGCTGAAGAACTTTGTTTGTCACCGCCAAAAGTGACTTTCAACGGTGGCTTTTTTGTCGCGTTTGAAAGTGATACCTAAGAAAAGTTGGCTTTACAGACTCCACATCATCAACGTGACACCATGTCATCACTGGCCACTTCCACCTCATCGTTGTCGGTCACCGCATCACCACCGACTAGATACCACGTCACCATTGGCCACCTCAATGTCATCATCGGTTGCCTCGACGTCATTACCACGTCACCACTACCATGCCATGTCACCCCTCCCTACCACGTCACTGCCCAAATATTTTCACCTTAAATGTGTCTTCTTAAGGGTTTGAACTTGTGACCGTCTCCTTTTGTGTCCAATCGTCTCGCCGTTGAGCTAGATTGAATTTGTTTATTATTATTGTAAAATAAAATATATATTATTAGATTATACTTTCAGTGGTGACATTAGAAAGTCGCCATTGAAAGTCGAACCTTTAGCGGCGACACTAATAGTCGCCACTAAAAGTTTACTTTCAGTAGCAACCCTAACAAGTCACCGTCGAAAGTCTAACTTTTAGCAGCAACTTTTTTTTGTCCTCGCCAAAAGTCGCTATCGAAAGTCTAACTTTTAGCAATGACTTTTTTTTATCGCCACCAAAAGTCATCGCCTAAAGTCTTTTTGTTTGTAGTGGAACCAAGATTATGGGACCAAAAACCATATATATAACTTATCTAAAAGGGACAATGGTTGCATCGACAAGCAAAACGTTGGTCACCAAAGACTGAAGCATAAATAGTGACCACAGTGAAGTACTAGAGGACATCGAGCTCGATGGTGATAATGGAGGATGTCGTCGTCGTCGAAGCTTGATGGAGGAAGAAGTCACGGGTTTTGGTTCTTAGGTGAATGGCACTATGTGGTTCGAAGAGGACATGGACGACGTCAATAGTGTTAGTGGATGAAGGGAATGTGAATGTTGGTGTTGACGGTGGAGGAGAAGGGAGAGGCCGATGACGATGATGAACAATATCGATGAGCTCGAAGGTCAGTGGAGAAGGAACTGGACAATGGTGTGCTGCCAGCTAGGATTCCAGAGGAAGAAGCCGCCGTTATAGCCTTAGCAGTTGTGCTGAAGAAAAAGAAGAAGAAGGGATTCAAAAGACGGTACCCTAGCTCATTCAAAACTCTGCAGTTTTGGTTTTCAGTGACTTTCTTTTTCTTTTTTTTAACTTTTTTCTAGCTTTTTATATTTCACCAAAAAAAAAAAATAGTTGCGTATCATCTTAGAGGTAGACATAAGGTGAAATCCAAATAATATAAAAATCAAATTGATTAACGATACTAAAAATTTTCATGGTTTTAATTTTTTTTTAATCTGGATATGTCACTTAAAATAAATCATAATAAAAATAGAATTACTAAAATTAAGAGAATGGAAATTTCAGATATAAAAATAAATCTGAATACTATTGTATATCTAAGCGTTTAATATTTTAAGAAACTGAAATTAATAAGAAAAATATTTATAAACTTTTCAATGGTATCTATTAAAATCAATTAAAATATTTTTTTACATTTAAATAAATTTATAAAAAAAATATACATAGCAATAATTTACTAAAAAAAATAAAGAAAGAAAGAGGAAAGTCCAATTAAAAGCCGCACGAAGGCAAAAATGAAAACTAACTATTGCTAGCATTATTCATGTACACGAATAATTTCATTTAATTGTTTGTTTAGTTATACAAAATATCTTTTATTAATAATAAATAATTTTTATTTGATTTTAATAATTTTTTGTCAATATTGATGAGACCAAACTATAAAAAATTTTAGTATAAATTAAAAAGATTATAGAAAATATATTAAATGGAGGTATGATAAGAGGAAATGTAGGGATTTAATTAGGGATAATGTAGTATTTTTAAATTTATATTTTGATATTTGGTCCCTGTAAACAATCATAATTATTAAGATCCTTCCCAATAAATATTATTTTTTAGGTCCTTTTTCCTAATTTTTTCTATAAAATAATAAGGCAAAATATGATTTTATCATTATTATCCAAGGAGGGTTAATTGTTGGAAGAAAGAGAAGAGAAAAATTAATTTTTTTTGAAAAAATAAAGTCTCAAATTAAATGGGCTAATGGAGGGAAGGTGAAAATCTTTTGAGGGAGAATAAATTTAGCCTTCTAGTAATTGAAATATGGTATCTTCAAACAAAAAATTGACAAAATTACATTTTATAAAAATAATTTAAATTTAAGTCTTACTATTTTTCACACACAAGGACAATAATATTATATTTAGAATAATATTATAATATTTGGCCAACCTTTTCTCAATCTATCTAGCCAACTTGATACTAATGTTGATATATTTTGTTAGTATAATTTGATTAATATTATTTTGTATTAAAAATGTGCTGGTGGACTAACTTTAAAAAAAACAAGGAAAAAAAAATAAGCTATTTTCATATTCACTATTTTTATTTACATAAGATTCTAATTTTTATTTATTAGTAATTCATTAAATATATGTTTTTTATGTTATAGTATAACCTTCTAATTGTATTATTTGTAAACAGTTATTAATATTAATTTTTTAAATTATGATCTATCAAATACCAGTTTAATTATTTTTTAGTATCATTTAAAATGATTTGATATTTTTCAGTTTAAAAATGTCCAGCTATTTTTAAAAATAGATAACATATTTATATATAATATAATGTTGACAATATCTACTTACATGAAGTTGTGGAGTAAAAAAGAAGAATAATGTTGTCATGAATAAATTACAAGAGATGATGTTTAGGATTCATACATCTCTCACATTGTAATAAGGATTGCTATAAATCACTATCGTATACAATCAAATCATCAAGCATTTTGTTTAATTAACAGGATCAAAATTGTTGAGTCTAAATCCTCAAAATATAAGTATGTTAAATATTTGGTAGGAGAATTTTGTTTTTGTTCACAGTTTTATGAAACTAAATACTAATAAGTTAGCAATATTGTTTTACATCATTTCATGTAAATATTTGCTTTGCACCCATTATATTCTTCATATGATTTCTCAAGATTAGTAAAATTCAATTTTGTCTCTAACATTTATTCTTCTATATTATGATCAATAATATTCAATTAATTCGAAATAGTCACAATCAACTAATAACTCAAACAGTAAGTTTTCCTTTTTCATACTTAAGGCAATCAAGTGCATAGATCAAATTATTATAATTCACCCATACTTCTAGGATTTCACTATGTTCCTTTACGAAATTTTCATTTGCTTCTTTCTTACATAGTGTAGTCTTTCACCTCACAAAAAATAGAATGACTACATTTTATAAGAATAAAGATATAAATTTTTGGGAAAAAGAAATTCACTTTTATGACAAAATTAGCCACGGATAACATTTCATGGGTAATTTCTGTTAAAAATCCATTGAAACTTCCGTGGATAAATTTACTGATGGAATTTTTGATGGAATTTGCCACGGTTTTCCAATGGATTTTTGCGATGGAATAAATTCTGTTGGTGATTCAATGTTATTTTGTAGTGTCGGATGAACATATAATCCAAATAATTTCATGTAGTTGGACAAAATATACTCATCTTTGAACGATTTCCGCTCCCGCGCAGATATACATACATGTATGTATTTGTGATCAATTCAGTGCTTATCATATAAATAAATATCATGATACTTATTGATATGTTAAGATCATCACTATCTAAATAAAGCTTGAATGATTCAAATTTAATTTTCAATTCATAATTTTTTAAATAAAAATTTATTTTTTAAAAGATTAACATTAAGAGATTATCTTTATTTAAATTTGGATTAAAGTTTACATTTATTCAAAAGTTTTCACTTAAGAACGCTAAGTACTTAAAAGTTTTTCTGAGTACAAACTTGTCCTAAAAATTTGAAAGTGTAACATCACCATTTACCATTAAAAAACTAACAATGATCATTGCCTAGCACTCCTAAAAGAAAACTTCCAACACAAATTTGTACCTTATTCCTTTTAAAATTTAAAGAAATTAAAATAAGTTTTAAAAAAAAAATTTATAGGCTGTTCTAATTAATTTCTGTCGTTGAGGAACGATCAAGGCCACTTCCTTCTCGAGTTCCCTGCAAATCGCTGCATGTGAAGGATGGAATTTGAATGAGAATAAGAAGGGGATAGAGAGGGAGACACATTAGCAGATGTAACAAATGAGAGATGTCATTCAGAAAGAACCGACCGTCCTCCACTGATTCCTTCATCTTCACGTCGTCCCCGAAACACATCGGAGTTCGTCGGGGTACTGCAACCCAGAATTCCGCTGTGATCCACCATCATCTGTTTCCTCGCATCCTCCCTCAACCTCATCAGAATGTACATTTCCACATCCTTCCCTCTCCATTCCTCCAAATCCAAAGAGTGACCCGTTGAATGACTCCTCCTCAATCCTCTCTCCCCAAAACTACCCTCCTCCTCCGCCGCCGCCGCCCTCGTCGTTTGTCTTGCCCATGTATCAGCAACCTCCTCCTCGGCTTCACTCGCCTCGTTCTGAGTCACCACCGCCATCTCCTCCTCACCTTGGCGGCGCTCCGGCCTCAACGCCGCTCGACAAACTGGACAGGTCACGTGAGACGCTAACCACTTCTTGATGCAATCAGGGTGGAAGACATGGTTACATATCGGAAGCAATCGGAGCATGTCGTCGTGTTTGAACTCGATCAAGCACACCGCACACTCCAGCGGGGCATTCCCACCAAGCTTGAGATCTTTAAGGTTGGAATACGTGAGGATGGGAAAGGTGTGAAGTAATTTGGAGTCGACACCTTGAGATTCGTGGGGTCTGTAATAATTGACGGTGACGGCTACGGGCTGGTCTGCGACGGTGAGGTTGGTGTCGGAGCAGTAGCGGAGATAGAAGGTGAAGAAGACGACGAACAAGAAGGAGCAACCGAGGGCCGCGACCACAGGTGCGAATGATGGGTCATTGCTTTGGAGTGAAGGGAGATAAGAAGGTGATGCTTGCGAAGCTACCTGGGCATCCATGGTTGATGCGAGAGAGACGACGAGGAAACTGGATATTATGATTCTCATAATTTCCTTAATACTGGCTAGCTTTTTTATTTTTTGGCCAACAATATTGGCTAGCTACTTGTAAAATAGATATATATTTTTATATATATGAACAACGAGGATAGTCTTAGAAATTGACATAGTGTTATTAGTTTTAAAAATAACAAGCTACCAACAAATACGAGTTGATGTGTTACGCTCACATGTTTAAAAGGAGAATCCATTACAAATGGAAGAATTTCTTGAACTTATAAATCATGCTACTTCCACTCCTTAAAATAAAGAATAAATAATTAATTTAAGATGATTAAAAAATTAGTTAAATTAGTTATTTGTCACAAATATGTGTTGGCCTCCCTAAACTATCCTCTTTAACAATTTGTATTGGATTATAGGAATTATCCTTAATGAGAACTCCTTACAATTAATAAAGATATTTTAGAAAAAGATAAAAATAAAGTGGATTAAGATTTTATATTTCACTTATGAGATCATAAGGCCAATAATAATAATCCACCCCCATTCCAACCTGACAACTCGGTTTCACGACATTTTATTCGCCCTCCTAGAGTTAGAACTAATGGTGAAAGACCAACATATTAGACGGAGATCACGTTATAAAAGATTAACATGTTAGGTGGGTGCTCTTTTTTTTTTCCGGTTACAAGAAAGGGGATCGAACCCCTACCCACACACCCCACACACACCCACCCATACCACTAAACCAAACGGTTCGGGGGTTAGGTGGGTGCTCTTTGAACGTATAAAACCACGTATAACATGGAGAACTTATAGCGCTAGTAAAGGTGGAAATAGGCCGGGCCAGGCTAGGCCTCACTCTTAACACGCCCGGCCTGTGGTGAGGCCTGTTGGCTTGAGCCTTACCTGCGGCTTGTGAAAGGCTTTTTAATCGGCTTGAGCCTAGCCTATGGCCCGTGATTTTTTAAGAGGCCTATGTTTTAACAAATTTTAAACACATATAAATCAATTCAAAATTACAATAATTCATCGCAATTTATCTAAAATACAAACAAAAAATATGAAATTATCAAATTAACACAATTTGTAAAACATGTCACTTTAGGCCCAAAAAACATCAAATATGAAAAATTATTAGAAAACATAATTTCACTCTGGTGTAAAAATATCACTTTATCCCATCTCTAGTATAAAAATTAGTTGATGACTAGATCTAATTTAAAATATGAAACATCCTTAATCCCCTTTATATTTTAAATTTATCATTTGGTCAAACTAATTTGCTAACAAAATGATATTTGATCTTGTTGTTACACATGGTTGTTTTAAAACAAATATGTTACATTTATTATAATTTATTTATTTATTTAAATTAATTAAGTAACTATTATAATAAGAATGAGATTGACCACACATATATACGGTTTAAAACATAATAGGTTAATTATATATATATATTCTATATAAGATTAATATGAAAAGCATGGATCAAATAAATGAATGATACTTTTATTTTTTTAATGCACTTATGTTTTCTTTTTCTGTTCAAATATGTGTCATTATACATACATCAATTATTTTTATTATAGAGAATGGAAATGAAATGAGGCATGCAATAAGCTTTAGATAACACGTTTATGTGGGTGGAGTTTTTTCAATTAACCAATCAGAATAACAGATTCTCTCCTATCCATTTACAATTTTAACCTAAAAAAAAAAAGGCTCAGGCCACCTAATAGGCTTACTATCAGGCTTGAGCCTGGCCTGATAAAGTAAACAAGCCTTTTTACAGGCCTGAGCCTGTTCTGATATTTAAATAAGCTAGGTCAGGCCATTTACAGGCCATGCCATAGACCCATGACAGGCTGCCTGGCCTATTTCCACCCCTAAATGCTAGAAAGACACACTATCGTTTTTCAGTTACTTTGGGTGACTTTAAACCGCATTTCCCATCGTTTTTTTAAATAATTACTATCTCCAATCTTTAATATAAGAGCTAATTTGATTTTTAATTTAATCCTAAATACATGACTCCAATCTATTTTGTCTTTTATATTTATTTATTTTTTTAAGGTAGTTCTTATAGAGTATGTTTGGATTGGCGTTGAGCAAAACTGACTTCTAGCTTACCTGACTTTTATAACTGAAATTAGAGTAAAAGTCAGTTAGTGTAATACGATTTATGTTTAGATAGGTGCTTTTAAAAGGTTAGTTGAAAAAGTTGAAAGTTGTTTGGATGATTAATAAAAAAAGTTAGTTTTGTTGTAAAATAACTGAAAAAGGTATGGATTTTATTGAATAATAGTGTTTAAAATTTATGTTTTTAATGTGATAATAGTTTTAAAAAAATACTTAAAATTATTATGATAAAATATAAATAGTTTATTTGTGAAATTATAAAATAAAAATATTTGTTACGGAGAAAAATTTGAAAACACATTATAGATGATTAATTAAATATACATAATGGACAAATATGAATATAAATTAAAATTCATTTGGTCTCTAATTAAAGTAAATGAAATCACATAACTAATTAGATCATAAACTTTGCACAATTTTCCCATAAGTTAGTTACAAAAATTGATCCAGATTGTGTTTTCATAAGTCAATTAGAAAAATTATTTTTTCTCATAAGTCAGTTACAAAAGAAACCCATCCAAACAACCAATTTTACTCAAATAAGCCACAAACCTCAGTTTCACACTTCCCCATGTGCTTTTACCTTCTCCAATGACAATCCAAATGAGGCCGTAATAGTTGCACATGTTAAATATTTCATCAAATAGTATATTGCCTTTGATTCTTAGTATAAGAGCTAATTGACTAATTTGAGTAGATTAAGAAAATTAATTAAGTTAATTATTTGTAATAAATAGGTATTGTCTTCTGTAAAATACCTTTGCTAATTATGTGTATTAGCTAAAATTACTATTGATGAAATATTTTAACATGTGCAACTACTAAAAGGGCTATCTTAAAAAAATAGATATATAAGACAAAATAGATTGGGGTATTATATTTCAGATCAAATTGAATGTTAAACTATTAATATAAGAATCTGGAGCTAATAATATTCTTATTATGTTAGTTTTGAGTATTGTTGGACTTAAATTAGGGTAGCATTCGCAAACCCTATTTCCTTTTTAATATTAACTAATCCCAATGAGAGGCAAACAGTGCAGCAGTTTTATTTGGATCTTATTTTGTTTCGTGAATTTTTATTCATTTTTTTGAATAAAATGTTTGGCCTACGCTTTCATCAAACTGTAAATTACTCACAGCTAGCTAGTTGATTGAAGAGAGTTTAAGCTTTTTTAAGATTTTATGTGCCCAACAAAGTTGAAATTGTTTGGTCACCTCAAAATGGTTAGATTAAAATTCAATATAAAAAATGGTATTTATCAATGTAGAAATATATCAGGGCAGGTTCTCCCTGTCCTTGTCGAGTTGTTGCTCCTATATCACAACATGAACCATTTGATTTTTTTTTTTAAATCGTTTTTTTTGGAATGTACTAGTGATTATGGAATTATTCATTTAACAATCTAAACATAGAAGTTCGTGATTAATAGGTGCGATGATTGTTATGCTTATATTAGAGCTAAATTACCGATTGAGCCCGAGAACATTTAAGTTTGTCATCGTAAATTTTAATTTATACTAGCGTTATGACATACATAAAACAATGCATGAGCACATTTCTTAATAAGGATTCTAACTTATTGTGAGGAACTAGTCTGTTCCGCTAGACTTAATTTCTTTTAGTGCTCAAAGAGTTAGCTATTATCCTAAATACAAGAGCTAATTAATTCATCTCCTAAATTTATAATTTTTCTTTTAAATTATCTCTATTGACTACACATAATTAAAGGTGTTTATGAAGTAGTTTCAATAATGTAAATTATTAAGAAGGTATTTTTAGAAAACTAACATACATTTTTTTAATAAATAACTAATTTAATAATTTTTTAAATTAATTATCTAGCTTCTAGAAAATCGAAGGCAGAATAAAAGTAATTAATAATATTCCAATTTTAGTTGCCTTGTGTCCCTCCATCACCTCCACATACCATTCTACAATTTATTTTAAGTAATATCCCTATCCAGTATCCACCGTCAACTCCATCACCTTTAGCTTATCCCAAGGGCTTCGTGGGTCTGTAGTAGTGTATGTATGTAAACAATTCAAAAGGCAATGCAAAAAGAATAATATATTCAAAGTAGGAAAAATAGTTTAAGCAGAAATTCAACATCATCAGATTCCTAAGTAGAAAATCAACATAATCAGATTAATTCCAAGATTCATATATCTTCTTAAAAGGGCAAAGCAAAAGGAATTTAAAATAGGAAGACAGGTAAGTAGAAAATCAATATACATAATCAGATTCCAATATTCCATATCTTCTCGTAAAAGGTAAAATACATCTGGAAGACATGCATGGGCATATGTGTTATATAGCAGAAGTAGTTAGAAAAAAATATTTAATACTGTCCATAAGTTATGAATATATTTATTTGATATAAATTTAATGTTATATATATATATATTAAAATATTGAATTCATCATTAGTCACCTTAGAGTTAATTGCGGGCTAAGTATATACTACATCGTACAAAGTAGTTCACTTTGAACTACTTAATCAATATGGATAAATTAAGAACACTAGTTTAATTAGTTATTTATTATAAATATATGTTGGTTTTGTTATGATAGTGTGGATATCCATCTCCCTTTCTTCTTCAATTTCATCAAGTCCTTCCACTTTCATTATGTATTACTCATCCACTATGCTTTTAATCTTGTAACTCATGCCCCACTGATATTCATGTGATTTATTGTTCACTATCTATTATTTAAGTATAAATACAACCTATGTATAAGATTATGCCTATAAATAGGACTTGTTATTTGTGTTGTGGTGCAAGTGAAGGAAAGTGAATGAATAAAATGTAGTTCTCTCTTCTTCTTCTTTTTTGTCTCTATCTCTTC